GTAGCAAAGGGCATTACTACTAGTTGCAAGAAGATACTAGTAACAAGGGCCAAGTCCTTTTATGGAGGTGCTGCAGCTGTCGGAGACACCAGCAGCTAGTCTGTGCGTGTCCTACGCGTGTGCTTCCTGATTTGGTGTTCCTATTTGGAACTGCTCAGATTGTTCCTGGGTGGCAAGAAGCCCTTCTGTTGGTGGATGTCACTGAAGATCTGACTGTTCATGTGTGTTTGGACTGAGGTATATATGTCGTCCTTTGACCAACTGGCATTTATTTTTACTGAGAGTGTTGGTGCCACAAAGTGGTCCATTCTTCTCAAGACGGCCTTCAAGCCATTCGAGCCAAGGGAGTGGCGCTGTGGTCACCTGGTGTTCCCCTTTTTGAGGCTAGTGTCTTTGTCTACTGGATTGGCTGAACAAGTTCATTCTTTTTTGCACCGCTTCCACGTTGGTTCTGACGACCTTGCTTATTGGTCGGCGCTGCCTGGCACTGCATGGCCGATCGTCGACCTTTCAGCATGTTTTGCTTGGTAAATGCGAACCTCTTGGTTCGACCTCAAAGGTTGGAGCCAAAGAATCGACCTCGTTAAAAGACGTGCTTCGACCTCGTTTGCGGGCGGCCTCGGGGCCACACCATTGGCCGGGTTTTTGCCACACCACTTCACTGCACCTGACATGGTGTCCCAATCAGCCGAAGGGAGTTGATGAAGCATGATAAAGATACGGAACTGTTGGAGATGTTTGCATATACTATTCATATATCTAAAGAAAGTATCTATAATTAAGTGACTTTCAAGATTTAAGAGCTCTTGTCCCACAAAGCTCGACGAACCAAGCAGTGCACTTGACATCGATTGATTACGCGATTGGCCTTTTGAAGCATTCTATAATAGGTATTTTGCAGAGAACACCTACGGGTTTAGATCGTGATGTCGGAGAAACAAAGCGCTGAACGAGGCAGGGCGTTTTTGAGAGAGGCCCCGAAGGCAGGGCGTTGGCGACCACGTTGCAGCCAACGATGCAGTGATCCGAGGTGTCGATCCAAGCTTCGTCAACATCGAAATCGACCTTGCTTCGAAGGAGAACTCTTAGGTTGGAAGACCCTCTTTGGTGACCCAGGAAACAGGTAGTGACTCTATATACAGTATAGATCATCCAGTATGCGGATAACAACCTGTCTACATGCAGTGGATGAAGCAGCTTGCGTGCCACAACTCCAGGAGCGCCCAAGCCACAGCCTTAGCCGACCTCTCAGCTTCCTTCAGCTTGCTGAGTCTGCGGCTGGGCTGCGCCCGGCAAGGCCTTCCAATTCCGAGCAAACTTGGAAAAGGCGAAGAAGGTGGGGGTCTTTGGAGCTGTGGCGCTTTGACCAGTGGTTCTCAAACCTCTTCGACTCAACTGACTGTTACCGTTCCGTTGCCCACTCTTGTTCCCTTTTCAATTCTTGCTTGTTGTCCAAAGCAACCAAATCGCATTGACCCCCAGAACATTTCTTGAGTTAATGACTCACACTCCGTCGTGGCTGGAAACCATCCCTGAGGACAGGAAGAGGAGCTTGAGAATGTCACGCATTTGACTCAATTCGGCCTTGAAGGGGGCCACCGGCAATCCTTCCTTGGGAATCGTTTGACTGGGAATCGTTTCACCTGTAGTAACAAGAAGCTTTCTAGGTGTTTGAAGCTTCTTAGGAACAAGAAGCTACTGTATAGGAACAAAGGGCATCGCTACTAGGAGCAAGGACGCTACTAGTAGCTCCTGGCCTTACTACTAGGAAGAATAAAGCTAGTAGGAGCAAGAAGCTACTAGGATCTTTATGTAGTTCGGCCTTGAAGCCAATGGCCTCTGAGGCCTTCAGATGCGCACCTGGTGCTTTCTGCAAGGACCATTTTCACTGCAACGGGAGTTGGACTTGAGCCCCTAGTAGCGTCCTTGCTCCTTGCAGGAAGGTCTCGCTCTTGTCCATCTTCATTTCGCTGGCCCGGGCGTAATTTAACTCGCTCGTGCTCTGACACGAATCGCGCGTTGGTTCGACTGCGTCGCGGTTTGGCAGGTGCTCGCGATTCTTGGCTTCAGCATCGGCTTGTCGGAGAATGCCTCAAGCTTAGACACGAACACGAGAGGACCCTGGGGACTTGAAAGCAGCTCAGGTCCTTTCAGTGCTGGGCTTTGGGATGGAGGAGCCCCGTTCGTAGCATCCTTGCTCCTAGTAAGGCCAGGAGCCCCGAACGTAGCGCCCTTTGCTCCGTTCGTAGGCCAGCTTGGATGGGATTTCTTCGGCCCTGGTGATGTGGCGCTTTAAGCCACGGCCCCGGAGCCATCGAAGCACCCTGGTACAACCATCCGCGCGGTTCAGCCATCGAAGCGCCGGTCGAGGACTCCCAAGAAACGACACTTCAGAGCCGGAGACCCAGCCCGCCTTCGACGTGCGCGTTCGACGTGGCTTTCCATCCGCAAAGGATGCGGAAGCTGCAGCCATCGCAAAGGAGGCCAGAGATGCGAGGCACCGGGATTTCAGGGTTTTTGCACCAAAGAAGGACGGGAGACCCAAAACAATAATGGAAAACATGAAAACAAGTGAAATTAAGGTCTCAAAACAAAAGCAAAAGAAGACAGAAAGCCGGTTTGAAAGAGAAAGACAATTTGTTGCCAAGCCCAAGTCTTTGCCTTTTTCATGTTTTTTGCCTCCAACCTAGAAGGGATGGCCTCCAACCTAAGAGCAAATCCGAACCTTTCCCCACGCGTCGCGTCGTGTCTCCGCGCGTCGTTTTCCCTCGCGTCTCGAGGCGCGAGCGCAACAGCGCCGTGGGCATCGGCGCCACCTTCGTGGCCTCGGCAGTGCTGCTCTGCGCCTCAGCGGCCTGCAGCCTCGGATGAGCCTAGGAGCAAAGGGCATGGAACAAGTGCATCGCTACTACCGTAGCTTCTTGCTACTAGTTGTTGTGGCCTCCAACCTACTAAGTTACTAGCGATGGCCTCCACCTAGTAGCTTCTTGCTACTAGTAGCTTCTTGTTACTAGCAGTAATGCACTTGTTATTGATATACACTTGTTCTACCTGTGTGCCGACTTGTAAGCCTCCGATGCATCATCCACGACGGGTTGTCCTCGTGAAACTGAGAAACCATGTGTGAAAGGTCTAGTTATGAAATCACCCTACTAGCAGTTAGGATGGGCACCCAAATGCAGCGGGGCGTGGAGCGGTGTATACTTTGCGATGCTTTTGATCCCTTGAAGAGAGGGGCCACGGGAACGTTGCTCAAAGACTCATTGATGCCGAGATTGTAAAGTTGAGAAAGTACACGAATCGGAATTGGCATTTGTGCTCAAGATAGAAACAACATGGTCCAAAACATACTTTGTATCTTAGACAAACTTTCTTTCTAGCTTAATTAGAACATTAAGTTAAGTTTCCCTAAAACTCTAGGAACTTTGTGCGAGCGCTTCGTCAAGGGGGAGCCATCCTGCGTCCAGTTACTAGAAGCGAACTTAGCCTAGTAGCTTACTCGTCCCTTACTTGGTTAAGTAGGCGCCTACTTAAGTAAGGAGGCAGGGCCACGGGCCAAAAAGAGAAATCACACACAAATCGTTTCGTGCTAGATCTCGGAGCTTTAGGGAGCGCATGGAGTCTAAGCACTTGGCGGCTTCTCAAGCAGCTGCAGATGGAACACTCTTAGCTGCCAAGCGGCACCAAGAACCAGCGCAATCCTGGGCCCTGCTTTTGTGAGTTCCAGGCCTTGCTTGCGTGACTTAGTAGGTTTCACCACAGTTTGGCTCAA